ATAAACTAATTCTAGCCGATCTAAAAACNTACATTGTATAAGAAAGAAGCTTTCAAACATATTGAAAAAAGAGAAAATAAAACACCTTAATTTGTTGCTGAGAAATATAATTGAAAAACAAACGTTTTCAGCCTGATTAACAGGCCATCATCAGGTCCAAAAAACGAAAATGGAACAGATACGTTTTATGTATAAAATACAAATATTTAAATCAAAATTTAGAACAAAAATTTTAAAAATATACAAGAGAAACGGAAGAACATATAAAATTAACACAAAATAAAATAAAAAATATAATAAAGCTTCCAATAAACTAATTCTAGCCGATCTAAAAACTCTTCTCGATATTTTAGTGAACTTTTTAACCATGTACTTCCACGCCGACGACAGGCTCTCAGCATCTCTCGTATTTAAACATCCCTCACGTAGCCTACTTTTATATATTTCAATCTTCTCCGCCGTAATTGATAAAGTGGGGAAGATACAGGTTTTATAATTGTTGCCTTGTCCCATTTTTACCACCGAACCTTGGACTTGCGACATTTGCGACAAAATTGTAGCATCGGATCCTTTTTTTACGTTATATCTATGTTCTTTTAGTCTTACTCCTAAGCTCCTGTTGGTGACTCCGATATAATCTTTCTTAACATCTAGTTGGATGTTCTCATAAGGAACTTTATAGACACTGGTTTTTCTTCTGTTTTTATTCTATCTTTATCATTCCTCAATATCTTATATAAATTTGGGGCTCTTTTTAAAACCAGTTTTCTATTAGCTTGTTTTCCAGCTTGTTTTCCAGCTTGTTTTCTATTAGCAACTTCTTTCATAATACTGTTCAAATTACTATTATATGTAAACTTCAAGCACTTATTGGGAGCGGTATTTAAGCCTTTTCTCTCCTTGTTCCTTTCATATTTTTTTCAGTAATCCTACAACAGTGCTTTTCTTGTAACCTAGGGTCTGGGCTACTTGCAATATCCTATCAATTTCTTTATTCCTGTCACCGATCCTTTCACAATACAAATAAGCTCTTTTTATCAAAGTTTGAAATGCGGCCATTTTATATCGATATGGATCCATGGACTGTGCGGGTATATATAGTGGGGTGTGATTAGGTTTAATATATACGCTGGTGGACAAATGATCTCCCATGAACTTGATATTAATGTCCAAGAAGTGCACATTTAAGGAACTTTTTTGTTCTAATTTTAACCTAAGACCTTCTTTGTTATTATTGATTCTATTCAAAAATTCATGTATCCTGCTATTATTTCTCCATAATATAAAAATGTCATCCATATATCTAATGAAATGTATGATATCTTCCTTAAAATTACATAGAACTCCTCTTTCTAATCTTCTAACTACTAACTCGCAAAAAATTCCAGAGAGGAGACTTCCTATCGGAACATTAACATTATAGATGTTAATGTAAATAAAATTAACTATAGTAATGTGATTTAATTTGTGTAAAGCTGTGGATTTGAGTACATATTTTGTGGAATACTTAACTTATTTTTTTAATTTAAAAAGTCTGTATTATTGAAAAATAATGCATTAATTGCAAAATTTTGGTTTTTATTAATAAATTATTATTTTTAATTAATAAATTGCAATTCGTATTATTTTGAATAAGTGAATGAATAACGTTACTTTTCAATCATCATTCTACAATAATAAACTCATAGACTGGGCAATAAAGATTCTAACTTTTATACATCATTTTCTACCGCATCAATGTATAGAATACATGACAAATTAGAATGAAAATAAAAATGCCTTACCTTTCTTTTGTTTTGCTTCTTGTTAATTTTTTGAGCACAAGAAGTTTCCAAAATGATTCCATGTCTCTTTGGAAAGTGGATTATAAAATTTGATAGTGATACTTACTCCTAGAATAATTTAAGAATTTAATTATTAAGAATAGAAAAGATCAAGATGGTTCATTAACTAATTAAAATTAAATATTAAAATAATTTTCTAATACAAGACATTTATTGTTTCATTGAAAACAATATAAGACGATATACAGTACAAGCGAATATTATTTATGATCTGATAAATTAATTCGATGCTAAGTGGAAACAAACTTAATTATTTTTAATAAAATTTTAAGACTTTTACATTTAATATTCTATAGACAATTATTCAATTTTAATCGCTTATAAATAAAAAAATTTACATTGCCTGCGTTATTCGGGTTTATGTAATTCAACTTTTTCGAAAAATGTCAACATGGAGGGAAAAATAACTCGCAATTTCCGGAAAACATTCTATTCCAAGATGACGTAGGCAATACAAAATGGAACGAATTAGAATCTGTCGAACGTTGCAATGCGTCACGCGTTGCGTTACGAGTTTTACGTCATAAATGTAATATTTCGAGTATTTTAATTGTATTTTTTAAAGGAAAGTTACTTTTTAACAAATTATTTTCCCTCGGATTTGGCAGGATATTTATTAAATGTAAAACTTCGCTAAAAAGAAAATTTATTCAGATTATCGTAATAAAATCACCCAGATGTTACAGAATAAAAACTAATTTTTAATAAAATAAGTGTTAGTATTTATTTTCTCGATTCTAAAGCGCATTTTTTGGACTTTTTTTAATCTTCGTTATTATGGTGCGCATTATAAACCAGCACAAAGTCGACTTAAATGCTACCTCGTTGGCTGTTTGTTCCTCACTCCGCTCGGAAATTCGCGTATATTACGCCTTTGTTATAAACCTTCCCTCTAATTCGGTTTTTGTTTTGAAGTTGTTTGATGGTCCTCTGAATTATAGCAATGCGAATGAACAATGGCAGACAGGTCACCCGTAAAGCTAAGTTTAATTATGGTCACACCTATACTGTGACGAGGTATATATGCAGTGTAGGAATCCGGAAACATTTACATAGTTTTATCTGTATTCGCTTTCAAGTTATACCATATAGATTATATGCAATAAATTTCATTCATAAAGTTAATACAGAACTTTCAAGATTGAGGGTTTTACATTTTTCTAGATGAATCTCATTTACGTTTTTGTGCTTTTAGATTGTTTATTTCTTTTTGTGTATTAACATTTAGGTTAAATATAACATAGTTGGAATTTTCTTAGTAGACACAGTTTGAACAAAATCTTTAAATTGGATTCTGTGGAATTATTTCACATTATCTTTATTAGCATTTTTTCCGACAATGTCTTGACATTTATATTACGACAAATGACTGTGTTTATATACTTGCATTAAACGTAACAACATAAAAGTGATCATAAAAAATCCAGCAACGAGTTGCATAACTTTCCCGGCAACATTTGATGGCGCCATCTGTTACAATATTTTATTAAAAAGAATTTATCTTTTTAATTACTATAAAATGGCAAAAAGCTTGACAATCTCCCTAATACACAAACCTTCCTGCAAAATTTCGGAAATTTTCGACAAAAAGCATAGGAGTTACTAAGCTTCAAATAAACAAATCGTGCCTCATACACGCACACATCCACTAACATCAAAACATACAGATTTTTTTTTATTTTTTTTTTTTTTTTGCATTTCTCGACGTTTCAAGGTTCCCTGAATCCAGAAATGTAAAAATCTTTGGGGGTCATTTTTGGCCGATCGCCATACCTTCCCTTTGTTATATATAACAGCCGAGAAAGTAAAAATGTAATTTAGTTACTTTTTCCTTTATTTATTTTTATGTTTGGCATAATTGTTTATAATATAAAGTATTACATTAGTTCAGGGAAACAAATAGTTCTCACTATCAATTCACGTAAAAAATTTCATTAATATTGCACGACGGCTTTAAAGTGCGTTAATTACGTACGATAGAGTGTTTTAATAAACTACTGTATATAGCTATTCTGACAAAGTAGCATTACAGAGTTTTTGACCCTTTAAATTATAAAACAAAAATTCCCGTCAAAAATACAATGCAAATATTTTTTTATTATAAAGTTAAAAGTAATCAGAAAATGCGAACTTTTAATATAAAGTTATTGCTTGTTTTCATTGTCTATTCACTACAGTTTATGCGCCTATAAAAATTAAGTTCTTGTTTTAGAAATAATTTTAAATAATACGAGTCATAAAATTACAATTAAAAATAATTGATAAAGATTTAGTTTTTTACTAGTATTAAAAATTAAATACAAAGCACCTCCACAGACAAAATTTGCATTTAATTCACGAATCATTTCTCATTAGATTTTACTCCTGGATTTCAATTTTTCATAAAATCTAATGCAACTGTTATTGAGCTTACAAAGAATTTAACATTGACATTTACTCCAGTCAGGAAAAAATTAGTTTGAAATTTTCTTGCAAAACAAGCTGCAATTTTCACAAACTATAGACCTATACATTTCTGGATTTCATCCATCCATTTGTTGTCTGTCCTTCCTTAATCGGAACGGAGTAAGATAGTGAAAGTCGAGACCCGATATGTAAAGCTTAGGAGCAACGTATATAGTTAGGAGCCTGACTAACTATATACGTTATTTCATTTTAAATAATTTCTCCTGAATAAAGTTAGATAGATGACCCGCATGACTCTATTGTTAACGGGAAAAGTATAGTGTACAGTAGAAAACAAGACACTACTAAAATTCAGAACACTGTGACGAAAAATTGCAGCCCTGAAATGTGACTATGTCACAATAAAAATTGCTTGTATTTACTTTTGAATTAAAAATTTAAATATAATTTTTTATTATAAAATTATAATTGATTACGTTTCATGATTTTGTTTTTCTTAATAATTTTTATATGCGAAATTTAAGATATTAATGCACATTTACGCCCACATTTAGAAACGAGCAAAGAAAAATGCAACGAGAAATCACGGTTAATTACTTTTTTAAATGGACTTCGTTTTGTTTCGTTGAATTTTGACTCAATCAATGAAACATCGAAAGATATTACCTATTATCGGAAATTGATTTTCATTTATGTTCAAAAGGGCGCGAATTGTGTAATAATGGCGTGAATTGTAAACTTATTTCCTATAAAATATATATAAAAAGCGGATAAAAAATATTCCATTAGCTTCATAAAAATGAAATCACAGATATTCACATTGGTTTTCATTTTCCAGGTAAGTTGTAAATAAAATAAGAGCTGTAAGTTTTATTTATTAGTTGAACAAATTTATTGACTGCATATAAAATAAGTTCATGTACTTGTATATTCTGAAGATTATATGTTAATTAAATGTTATATATTATATTTTAAATGTATGAAACAAGAAAATGTTTTAAATATGTTTTAATTAAAACTGGCACATCAATTATTGAATAGGTTTTACAAGGAAGAAATTCTTTTGTAATTGAAGATGAAAGTGAAATATCACGTAAGTTTCAGCTTTAATTATTACATAAATAAACTATATGTTGAAGTAAATCCATTTTACAGTAAGTCGAACGGGTCTTTTTTTTTAAAGATTTTAAATAATATTAATATCTTTACATTTTTGATACTGTTATATGTTATTTTTCATTATTGAGTTGGCAGATATAAACTTTAATAATTTACTCAATCGAAATACAGTGGTACCTCAGGATACGAACGCCCCAGCATACGAAATTTTCAGGATATGACATGAAACTCGAACATATTTTTGCTCCACGATACGAACAAAAACTCACCATACGACGTTACATTAGTTCGCAGCGCCATTTTTTATTCACTTCTGTTTATTGGTCTCAGTCCGCGTGTTTGCTTCGTCGTGGAAGGATCTCGCTCGATAAAGGAAATCTTGAGGTATTATCAGAAAGTGACTGATTTTATTGAAAAGAAACATCCCGAAAAGGTTCACACTGGCCGTATTGCTGCTCGGAGTAATGACATTTGCCTAAGTCATTTTAGAAACATTTTAAAAAGTAGGCAAAGCCAAACCTCTTTGGATAGATATTTTACCAAGCGACCTCTATCCAGTGAAAGTGCTGGTGGAAGTGAAGGAAAGAAAGCAAAAAGCAGTAAATAAAAATTTAAAATATATATATATATATAAAACAACACTAATTTTTTTATCTTTCCTAAGTTATTTTTAAGTTATCGTTACATTATGTTATGTAAGTTAAGTTTTAGTATCATTTCCCTTCTCCCTCTCTTCCGCCACCAGTTTACACTTCCACTGTCGTCTATACTCAAAGGTAAAGCGCAAATAAAACTACATTTATTTTATCAATTATTATTCTATTATGGTTATTTATACAATTACAATTACAAAACGCATTTTTCAGTGTTTTTCTTACTAAAGTTATTTTTTTTTCAATGTACTACTTAGCTTTAATTTGAGTGTGTTTTTCGTGTGGAATGAATTATTTGGTTTTACATGTAATCGTATGGGGAAAAATGATTCACCTTACGACATTTTCATGATACGATCTGTTTCGAAACGGATTAATTTCGTAACCTGAGGTACCACTGTATCAATGTAATGCCTAATCTTGTGTGCTGATCGTTTGAGGTAACGATCTTTAAAAATATAAACTAAGCCTTCAAAAATTAATTTTGATAATCAGAAGAAGGCGTATTAACAGTTTATCTTTAATTTCTATAGCAGACAGACACGCATGTTGATCTATCAAAGAAATCGAAAACGCTTGAAATTTAAAACATTTTTCTTTGCTTGTACATTAATTACAATAGTTTAGTTCCATTTATTACATTTTAATTGACAAATTTAATTATTGAAGGTATAGTAACGATTAATTTATTTAAATAACTTCGAAGAGAAAACTCTTTATGAATTATTCTTCATTATATTTCTGTATTTAAAAAATCAAGCTGTTTACAATGTTATTAAGGCATGATTAGAATTTCGTCTTGTAAAAGCAATTAGACTTAAATTGAATAAATACAAAATATATACAATTAAATAAAATAGATTTGAATTTTCCTTGATATTGAATGGAGCGTAAGTTGAGCGCTGCATAAATCAAAAATGATCAAATTGTCTATGATCAAAGTTTAAAGCAACTACACGAGCAATGAATATGATTTTTTGCAAATATATACAACTGGCAAGACCGATGTCGTGATGAAGCCAGAATTTTGAAATTCCGTCTGAGAGCTGAGATATTCGAGGTCAAATTTCTCCAAGTAAAGTCTTTGGGCCGATTGCAAGATGCGAATAGAGTTTCCAATTGCTTTATACTTACATTAATCTCTATGATAACTTTTTATTTTAGATTCAGATCAGTTTTAAACCTTTTCTAAAGCACAACTTTGGTTTTGTACGCCGCGGAGCTCAGTTTTATTTTCCTAGAAGATACCCTGTTTTAGAGGCACTCGAAAATTTTATAGACGATTTTCTTAGATAAAACTAGATTAGATATGACATGTCATTTCATATCATATTATTATTCTATATTCAAAATTATAAAATGATATTTATAGTTTTATATTAATAACTAATTTAGAGTATTAAATATTTTAGCTGAAACAGTTTATCCACTCATTCATCATATGCCAATGAATAAAGGAGATACTTCTTATGCAGCACACGAAAAATTGATCATCATTAAAACTCTAAAAACTACATTTTACGTGGAATTGTTACCAAATTATGAGTTGATATCTGAAAATATCAAAGATGTGAACTTTCGAAATCACACAGCTAATCCATGCCTATTTCAAGGAAGAATCTTATCCCATAAAGGAGGAATTGCGGCCATCTCTACTTGCCATGGTGAAGGAAGGCTGGTAAGAATTGATATTAATGTATATTATTAATAGCGTTAAATGAATTCGAAAGCAAACACTTCTAAGAAAACTAGTTTATAGAAAAAAGTTATGAAAAAAATACATTAAATGAATTCAATAATGATTGAAGACTTTGAGTGTGTTTTGCCAGAATTCCAGATTTTGACATTTTGAGTACTTCGTACTGCTAGAAATTTTGGCATAAAGTCGGTCTATTTGAAAATCAAATTAAATATAATAAAAAATGATATTCAACTGATATTATAAATAATATCAATTGAATATCACTTTTTATTATAATGATTTTTAATACAAACCATTATCGAATTTCCTTCAACATTTCAATTTAAAAGAAAGAATTAAATTCGTTGATATTTTTCTAGCATGGGATTTTGATGATACCAGAAGAAAATTACTTTATTAAACCACATTCTTCGACTGAAATGAATTTTGAATTTTCATTAAATAACAAGATTAGTTTTCCTCATACTTTATCGAAGTCTTCGCAAACTTTCGCGAAATTTTGCGGCACTCGTGACGCAGGTAATATTTTATAATTACAGTATTTTATTACATTTCTCTAAAATTAATATTTTATCCATATTACAGATTTTACTTTTTCTAAACGAGAAAATAAGAGTACAAAAAGTGAAATGTCAAACGAACATCTTAAAAGAACATCAAGTAAAATCCCTACAATTGAAGCTGCTGTTTTTATAGATCATGTATTAGAAGATCGATATAATAATTTATCGTTAAATTCTTTTCATGTTGTTCTAAGTATTTTAAATCAGGTAAAAATAAATTTTCAATGTTTTAAACTGCTGTTTTAAATGAATGAAAATAACAAAAGAAAGTATATTTAATAGGTTCAACTGATATTCAAGTATAGAAGTTTATCGATACCACTTAATTTTGTGCTTATCAGATATGGAATAATAAAACACCAAACGGTAAATATTTTCATAATAAATGTATATCAATCATTTAAACAAAATTTATTTAATGCGAAATTTTATATTTTCTATAGTCTAATACAAAATACGGATTCATATTTATTCGTTTAGATTTATATTTAACTTTCAATATTTTAAGGGGACTGTCAAAAATGGTAACTATTATTTGCATGAATTTTGTAACTGGCAAAGAATATTGAAAAAGAAAGAAATGAAGTGGGATATTGCAATTCTTTTAACTGGGTAAGTAAATATTTTCAAATATTTACTTACCCAGTTAATATTTACTTTCAAATATTTACTTATTTTAACTGGGTAAGTAAATATTTTCAAATTACTTTGCTATGTTTATTGTACATGAAAATGAAGTAACAGTGAAATATTGGTTTAGTTTTATAATATAACTAAAAACTATGAGTATAATATTCAATGACAATAAATGAGCATGAAAGCTTTTGTGTTTATTAAAGTACCAATTTAATAGGCCTTATTCATTTTAAGAGTGAATAGTTAAGTTTAATTACTCAATTTACTTTATTTATATTACTATTAAGTTCCGATCTGTAAACAGTCATCTATCGGGCTGCAATTTAAACCTATAAATTCCGACTGTCATCGTCCTTCTTTAACCGAGAACAGAATTAGATAGATGAAAGTCGAGACCAGATATGGAAGCGTCGGAGCAGGAGGCTCCTATTAACTATATACGAACTTCCGATGCAAACCGGAAGTCATGTTATTTTAATTCAAAATTTTCTCCTGAAAGGAGTTAGATAGATGACCGGCATGACTCTACTCTAACAGAAAAAGTATAATGTACAGGGGTAAGCACTAATAATTTGAGGTGGAGAGCATACATTTTAAATTAACTAAATAAAAAATATGATTAGAATTTGCATCCCGATATTGTGGCGATGTCACAATATATATTTGCTTGGTATTTTTCTCTATTTCTCATGTCTTTACGGGCGTTTATTTTATGGTATTAACATCTTCGATGAACTAATAACTAGTATAATATATGCAATGATGTAATACTTTTTATTTACTTACGTATATGTGATTTGAACAGCAAGCATTTCATAGGTACTGTACGTGTTACGAAAGAAATAATTTTTGTTGCTATCATTGATATATTTTAAGAACAAAAAATACTTTGACGATCTTTTTCCTAAAGTTAACAGGGACATTTACTTGTGAATAAAATATATCAATGACAGTAACAAAAATTCTTTCTTTCGCAACACATACCTGTGAAATGCTTGCTGTTCAAATCACATATAAGTAACTAAATAAAAATATAACATCATCTATACCAGGGGTGGCCAACCTGCGGCTCGCGAGCCACATGTGGCTCTTTGAAGGATTATTTGTGACTCTCAATAGATGTACCCGAGTTCTTTTTTTTCATTTTTGTGTTATTATATTTTAAAAAATTATTATCGTTCCGTATGTGTTTCAAAATGTCTTTTAAATTACTAACAACAAATATGAAAGACTAAGTGCAACGTTGTAACAAATTTCATTTCCGTCCAAGTTAAGAATGATATGACTCATTGAAAACTGCGCGAACGAACATAAACAGTAGCGTAATTGTCCGTTATCGACTGACTCCAGACTGATTTTAAATTTGTAAACTGTCATTGCAACGGACAGTTGACATTGTGCTCTNAAGTAAATAAATAAACTAAATAACTTATAAAATAATTTTAATAATTTTAAAATATTTTCAATGTATACTTTTAGAATATTTGCTATTTATTATCGTGTTTGGCCCCAAATGGAGAGAAAAACTCCACTCATCCTGCATTAGACGGAAGCCAGTGCCACACTAATAAGGTAATCACCAATAAAAAGTTTTATATATCGATTTTTGACTAAAAGAACGCATTATAAGACATTTTTAATAGAATTAATTTTTGGTTATTTTAAATTATTAATGACGATAGAATGTCACGAACAAACAAAATTAACGATTTTCACATAAAACAACTTCATTAAAAATTTAACAAAAATATTTCAACAGGTCAACTAACGTCATATTTTTGCTTCCATATTATTTGATTACAGTAATTTAGGCCCAATATGAAATATTTCTGTGAAGTTATTGTTTTTTATGGGTGTACAAATATAAATAAAAAAGACTACATATTATATCGAACTTGGTGCATAAAAGATAAATATTGAACTTTTACGATTGAAAAATTCATAATTTTAGGAACATCCAAATCAAAGACTTGAGACTCAGTCGTGCGCTACATTACATTACTTCTCAGTGTAGAGAGATAATCACTTCTGTAGCAATGAGACAAATTAAAGATTTTTTCTTAATATGTGGGAGTCAATTAATTATCAAAACGACGTTTAAATCAAAGAAAAAGTTCTGAGTTATCAAACACCAAAATAAAACGTATGATCTTCATAAGGATTTTCAAAGATTTCTTCATTTGTCTTATTCTACCAGCAGTTTTTCTATCTTTTTCTTTATTATTTAAGTCGTTCTACTCTGGCTATAGGGCTGTAATGTTTTAGTTGGCAAATCTTATTTACACAGTGTATATACATGATGTTTGTGTTTACTTTGGTTTAATAAGTAATAATAATAAGAATAAGAATAAGAAGAAGAAGAAGAAGAAAATTTATAATATTTAAAATCAGTTTTCTTAAAATAGTACGTAAGTGATTTTCTAATAGTATATTATTTCCTAGGTATGTTATCAAGGAAGCTGTATACCAAAAAGAAAATTTCCTCGAAGATATCCTTAAACAGCTAAATTTAGCAGAAATATATATGAATTTTGATATTTTTAAGCTTAATATGGGATTTTAATTTTTCGATTTCATCGATGCTCGAACGTATAATGCTGTTACAAAGTTTAAACAAAAAATAATAATAATAAATAGAAACAATGGTTTTGCTTATAAATACAATGCATGGAAAATCGTTTTAAAAATATGTTTAGTTTTTAATGCTTGATGTAATAATATTTAACAATTTTTGTAATAAAAGCAAAAGTACATTTTTCTATTAATATATCAAAGTTTCAGTTATATTTTCTTTATAACCTTGTCTACAAAGTATACTAGTATAGTTAATAATGATCTTAAATAATTTAAATAGAAAAGTGGAAGTTGAAAATTGGAAAATGTTGAATTGTTAATGTCAAAGTATGTAATTTTTTAATTTTTGAGAGAAAAATGCTTTTATAATAACAAAAATAACGTCTAAACAGATAAAACTATTAAATGAAATGAACGTGAATATTATTCGACGGTCAAACTTAACAAAACATAAAACATTATATTATGGTCAGTTGAAAGTGAAAATCTAACACAGTGGAACGTGATTAATTCAGACTCGGATAACTCGATATCGCGTTTATTCGAAGACATTTTCTTTCCCGATCTTTCAGAAAGGGATTTACACGTTAAATCAAAAGTGTTAACTCGAATACGTCAAACTGTTTAAGTCGAATGGGGTTTTGATACAGTATTTTTATACATAAACTCTCCAGAATTTTAATTTTTATTACATTAAATAATTAATATTCATCTATTGAACAAAATAATCAGAAACTTTCTATAAAACGCGGAAATCAAATACGACTAAAAATAAACATCGTATCGTGACAGCGGGAGTGAGATGGTGGCTTCAGGTGTCCCGTGACACGTCAGTTTTCAGTTCTCCCGCAGTTTATAATTTTATTTCATTTGATGGCTGATGGAATTCTTCGACTAGTCGTCCTAATTCTTGATAAATTAATTTAAAAGAAAAACGATTATAGTCCGATTCCATGTAAATGTTTTAACCTTTGTGGCTAAATTTTAAAAATATAACAGTAGTAAGTAGTAGATTTTTGTGATAAAAATAGAAAAGAGGGATTCTAGGCGCGAAATATCGCAAATTAAAGCACATTTTACCAAATACTTGGGAACGAACGGATCAACGTTCGGGAAAGCATATCTCAAGAGTAGTAGCTTATTTAACCGTTCGGTTAAGCGTTTTTCAATTTCTGGACAACACCAAGAGGTTCACATTGACGCAATGATTCTATGTAATAAGACCCACAGAAATATCATATAGATAGTTTATTATGGATCACCGATAAATCGATGCACAAAACCTTGATTTTTGTCCGAACCTCCATAACTCGAAACTCTTTAACTCGAATTTTTTTTTTTCGTTCGATTCCAGTTAATCAGGTTTTGTTGTATTTTCTTTCATATGATTGTTCGTATCTTGTAATCTCTATCCTTTTTTAATACGGAATCTAAAACTGCTGTAAGAGGCACGTCCGTTTTTCATCAGACTATTTGGTAAAATTATTTTACTGAAAAAAATTTACATTGTTGAAAATAATTATAAACACATTGATTAATAATTATCTCACATTGATTTAAAAAATATTGAAAACACATTTCGTGAAACATTTGTGTATCAAAGAAAAAATATAGAAGTACAACAACGTTTTTTTTTTTAATCCTCATCTTAAGAGATAAACGAATTATCGTCTGAAATGTCTTCTGTGTTTGAATCAAATTTATTGCTTTCTTTAAATTATACTGTAGTTATTTATATTCAAAATTTATAACATGATTCACTTAAACTCACGTGTGAGGTTAAAAACAAATTCTATCCGCAGTGGCATAGCGTAGTGAAAGCGGCAGGGGTGGCCCGCCCCGGGCGGCACTTTTAGAGGGCGGCAAAATTTCACAATAAATAATAATAATATCTTGTAAATATTTGAACCATTTTATTTCATATTTTTGTCGCACCTACGATTCGGACCGGTTGAAATGAGCACGGAATTTTTTATTACTTATTCTGTGACGAAACTTTTACTTTTAGCAGATAGGAGATGAAATCGGGGCTACTCAAAGGTATCGCCTGGGGTGAAAATGAGAAGAAAAATGATTTAGAGGAAAAGGCTGAAGGTGAAATTACAAAGAAGGATAGAAAAGGGGATGAAACGGAAGTCTAAAGGGTGCCTGTATCGCTTTTATTTAAACCAAAATTAAAAATTTACATACAGTTGTGGAACAGTAGTAAAGAATTACAGAAGCGCCCTGAATGATTGGCACGCAAACATAACATATTTACAACACCCATTGTACTTACAATGAGAGAACCGACAAAGTTCCTTATGATAAGACAAACAATATGTACAAACAGAAAGATGCCCATGTCACAGAAGTGTCATAAGTGAGGGACACTTACGAAGTAAATAGACAAAACATTGCGACTTG